TATAAAACATTTTTTCCGTATTGATATATAGTTATATCAACACTCATGGAAGCTGGGAAAACTCGAAATTGTTTGAAAACACTCCGCCCTTCGGCGGAAGCCCTATAGAAAACCAGACAATACCCCACTCTACATCAACGTACAATCAAACCACCCGCCACCAATCATTATAGACAAGCACTTACATCAATTATAGTCAACGAATTTCCGATCTGTCATGCAATGCCGAGGAGTGCCATAAAGCAGCCCCGATTTACAACAAAGCCCTTAATTAAAGACAGCGGTTTTGATGGTCAATTAAAATACTTGCCCAGACCAACACTGCAAAATCCACGCAAAAATAGAGCGCGGAACGTTATTTGGTTTAACACACCATACTCAGCAAATGTGCTAACAAATGTCGGCAGAGGAGTTTTGGAACTTGTTGACAAGCATTTCCCACCTAGCAACACTTTAAGAAAAATCTTTAACCGAAATACAATACAAATAAGCTATAGTTGCATGGATAGCATGGCTAGCATAATTAAAGAACATAACAAAAAAGTTTTGAACAACGAGAAAGCAAGCAGCGCCGGATGCAATATTGTAGAAACAAAAATAACTGCCCATTAGATAAGCAATGTTTAACAACAGCTACAATATACCAAGCGAAAATCTTTGAACCAGGAAAAGACGACGACCCTAAGGTTTACGTCGGCATGGCGGAATCGGAATTCAACACGAGGTTTTACAACCATACCCTATCATTTAAGAACAAAGACTATGCAAACAAAACAGCGCTATCGAAATTCATTTGGGGCCTGAAGAAAACAACAATAGGTTTTAATTGTAATTGTGTAAAGATTTATGCTAATTTTAAATAGTTTAAAACAGGTATAAATAAGAACGTATATATATATATATATATATATATATATATATATATATATATATATATATATATATATATATATATATATATATATATATATATATATATAAATATATGTATATACCTACATACCTGTGTTTTAAATTTTACAGATGTAGATGAATGTTCCCGAGGTTTGGACAATTGCGACAGCAATTCTGAATGTAGTAACACTATTGGCAGTTTTTCGTGCATATGCAACCATGGTTTTACCGGAAATGGTGTGACTTGCGATGGTAGGCAATGCAATCTTGTTATTACGGGCAACTCAATATTGCAATCAGCAATCACTTTGTATTCTTTTCTTCACTTCTTATATTTCTTTGTAGACATTGATGAATGTTCTCTATCTATTGACAACTGTCGACATCAAAGCCGAAGCTGTATCAACATTGATGGATCTTTTTTGTGTAGTTGCGGTAGTGGATATTCTTGGAATGGGACGGCTTGTGAGGGTAAAAGATTGCAGTAGGCTACACCACATAAAAAGCCAATTTTCAATATTTTCAATAGATTAAATACCATTTCTGATACACCCTATAATATGATACATTTTGAGACATCCTTCCTGTGGAGTTTCGTTTTGAAGTATCTTTGCTTTATCGACATTAATTAATAGACTTTTTTTGATTTTCATAATTTCGCAGGATTGTATAAATATCTGTTCGCATGCAGTTCGCCCAGGTAATGCTATATATAGTAATATTGGATTTTATTGCCTTCATTCACTTATGTATATTGCTGTGAATTTTTACAGGGATATCTGTCAGGCTGCAAGGACCATCAAGTGACACTGGCACTGGCCGTGTTGAAGTCTTTTACGGAGGGCAATGGGGAACTATCTGCGATGATTATTGGGATAGAGATAATGCTGCAGTTGTATGCCGTCAACTTGGTTATCTAAATGCTGTTCGAGCTCTCCGTGGCTATAATGTTCCTGATGGTTCTGGAAAGATTTGGTTAAGGGATGTACATTGTAACGGGAATGAACAAAACTTGACCAGCTGTTTACATGGCAGATGGGGAAGTCATAATTGCGGACACGATGACGACGCAGGGGTCGTATGTTCTTCAACAGGTAAGTTTACGGAAAAATAAATACTTTAGGCACCACAAATATATGAGTGTGTTTTTCTCCATGTATACCTTGTGTACAATATATCTTAATCCTATTTGTTCTGGGGGTGTGCACAATTTGCGCATCCCTATAATTTTGTGTCGGTCGACATCCGGCAAAAGTGATTCTATTCACCTGCTTGAGCTTTTATGACTTTTAATATTTTTCTTCTGCGGTCATGACTGTGAAAAGAAATTTCAGAAAATTCAAAGATGTACGTACTTTTGACGACATCCGTCAAACAAGGCGCCAATGATAAACAATGAAAACAAAACTGAGTTGGTCATTTATAACAGTATTTTTAGGCTGAATCACTTCCAAGGATAGTTATGACATGCATGTATTATATGTTTCTTTCTAATTGAAGACGATAGCGGTCATGCTAGTCATGCAATGACCGCAAAACTGCAGCTGTGAATGATATATTTGCGAAATCCAAAAGGTCGTTTTATTCTTTACCTTCTCCGTTTCTTTCTAATTGAAGGCTATATAGCAGTCATGCTAGTGTAGCAATTACCAACAAATTTAAAATTATTATCATTATTTCTTAGAAACTGATTGTTTTTACAGTCAATGAACACGAAAATATTTGCATACCGGCACTATAAGTCGTCGTTGCAGTTTTCACTCGTTTATAGATTCTAAAATCGTTTCAGCATGACTGACCAACTGCAGAGCAACTTTAAGGTGGCTCCCTACAGTTACAGTCCAGTTTAAAACATTTATATAGCTCAGACGTCATCCTCGCGATTCGCGCGTGGAACCTTCGTGGCCGGTAAATATCTTGAAACAAGCCGCGGGAAGTTGTTTTTGTACTTTTATCTACAAAGAAAACGCCAGTTTTTTATTATAATCCTAAACTTTTCAACATTCGAACAGTACGTATTGTTGTTAGTTTTTTACCTACCTTCAGTGTCTCTCTTTTTTATATATTTAGTACGTTCAGTACTGTATTTCATAATGCTCAAAATGTTCAACAACAGTGTCACGGACTGAAATGATATTTTATGCTGTCTTCAAGGCACTCCTGAACTGTCACTGAAACTTACGTAAATCCTGTCATTCAACTCAGTTCACATGTAGTTTTTTATCTACTGAATCCAATAAAACTATAATACAGACAGTTACGAGTTGTTTTATACGAAATGTCAAACTCTACGTCTCTACTTGAATGTTTTGAAAAGTTTTCACACCGATTCTCACAACAAAACTAAATTTAAGAAACGTTGGATTAAGTCAGTGCGTTATTGTGTTCTCAATTTTTCGTATTTTGAACATGTATATCTTTTATTTTCATTTCAAATAAGTAAAAAATATCTGTGTGTTACATATAAGCCAAAAACTCCAAGTGAAAAATGCTAAAAAAGCCAACTATAAACCGTACACGTTTCGTGTTCCTCACGCATTATAATTTACACGCATGCGCAAATAGTGATCATGTCGAATCGATATTTTGTCACGTCAATAGCTTCAACTGGATTTAGGACTATTTTTATCGCGTTTCCTTCGCTGAAATTTTTTTAAACTTTGCACGTTTGCTAAGCATGACGATTGGCCAATCATATCAAAATTTCAAGAAATTCTATAAGACAAACTTTTTGTAGCCGTAATTCATAAATATCTCAAAACCTACCTTATAAACATCCCTTCAAACTTTATTATGTCATTCCTCTTTCAACCATAAATCTTAAAAAAAAATTCAGAAAAATTAACCGAAGGAAAAAAAGAATATTATTGCCGTTTGATTGTAAACTTAGACAATAAAAGAGCAAACGATGAAACGTCATGGTTGCCATGGCAACACTAACTCTGTTCCTATTTGTTCATATATCGACAGCAGAAGACTTCTGAACTTTCCTGAAAGAGGTTATATTGCCCTGTCTTAAGTGTGTTCAAAATAAACTTGGTTGAAATACCTAAAATACTTAAAATTTAACTGTAGGGAGCCACCTTAAAAGTGGTTTCCAACTGTTCTTGCACGACTGTGACACGGTCTATGGGTGTTTCTCTTTGATTTTTGCCCCCAATAGCTTATGATTCCTCCAAATTTGGCTAGCTTTGGCCCCTCGTAATAGGCATATTTCCATAGTTACAGCCTCTCTTCACTATATAATCCTTGCCGTGGTCACCACCTTTCTGGTGGGAAGTGATTTCACACGCAAATAAAGTTATATTCACCCTTACAAAATAAACACAAAACCTAAACATGTCCGCCACAGTCACCCAATATATAAAATAAATGAAACCACTCAACAAATTCCACTAGGCGTCTTTTTTATTACAATTAGTAGTTCCTACCACAAGATGTGGCACTCATCAGATTTATTAACCTTGTGACCACAGCCAAAAATGTACAGTACTTATGTACAAATATAACCGTTTAATTAATCGTTATAGATGTGGATGAATGTTCCAGAGCATTGCACAATTGTGGCAGTAAATCTCAATGTATCAACACTATTGGGAGTTTTTCATGCAGATGTAACCATGGTTATATCGGAAATGGCGTGACTTGCACTGGTAGGTGATGCAATCTGGCAAGTCAGTGCTGCAATGATTTCGTGCTTTTTTCTTCATTTCTTATATCTGTATATAGACATCGATGAATGTTCCCTATCTATTGACAACTGTCCCCAAAACTCAAGCTGCATCAACACTTATGGATCTTTTTCCTGCAGTTGTGATAGTGGATATTCTTGGAATCGGACAATTTGCGAAGGTAAAAATTTGCATATTACATCTCAAAGATAAATTTCCATTATTGTAATTAAGAAACTAACCATCTACAAAATTATTTTAACATATTTTAAAATTTCGAGACATAATTGTACATTTTCCCCATCTTTTGAATTTATACTTGCAATTATAATTAAATACTGTTTATAACTTTTTTATATATTACGGTATATTTTGATACATTTCTCATTGAGAGTTTGTTTTATATATTTATGGTTTGCCGAAGAAAAATTTTTTGCCCAGGGAAAACTTGCGGTAACTGGATTTAATTCTTTTTGCAGCGATATCTCTCAGGTTACAAGGCCCATCCAGTGAACGTGGAAAAGGCCGTGTGGAAGTATTCTACAGAGGACAATGGGGAACAATATGTGATGATGGTTGGGATATAAAGGATGCTGCAGTTGTATGTCGTCAACTCGGTTATCTAAATGCTTTTGCAGCTCTTGGAGGGAGCTCTGTTCCCGATGGTTCTGGCAAGATTTGGTTAGATGATGTTGAATGTAATGGGAGCGAACTAAACGTGTCCAAATGTGTACACAACAAGTGGGGAAGCCATAATTGCGGGCACGGTGAAGATGCTGGGGTTCAATGTTCTTCAACAGGTAAATTAATAATAATTTATATATATATATATATATATATATATATATATATATATATATATATATATATATATATATAAAAAACAAAAAAAATATATTTATATCTTAAAATTAATTATTGCTACTCAAGTTTCACGCCTTATTCAAGACGATCTTCAGGCAATTAAATATATATATATATATATATATATATATATATATATATATATATATATATATATATATATATATATATATATATATATATATATATATATAAAACTCGAAAATAAAACTCGAAACCGGTTTTTGTGACGACACTTGCCGAAAATTTCGCTTCTTTTATTGAGTAAAATTATCTTTGTTTATGTCTTTCAAAATGGAAAATTTTTCTTCCAAGCATAAATTGCAGCGTTTTGATCCCCGTGTGTACGAAATAGCGTGTTTTAAAATTGACCATTTGATGGTATAATCCTGATTGTTTCCTTTTAATTTCCAAATATGTTTCGAAAGTTCCGTTTTGTTTTGAGTCTTTTTTATGACGAAAAGATGAAGTGTGGTTAGCGTAACGTTCCTTAAATATAGTCGCTATCATACCAATGTAGTGTTTTGTGTCGTTCGTGTTGTTCGTTGTCACTGTGGCTTTGTAAATAATGTTGTTGGTCATACATTGTTTTGGTAGTGTGCAAGTGTTTTTGTTGTCGCAGTTACAGTTGTCAGTTTCCGTATTCTGTGATTGGCTGTTCCTAATTATATGTTCGTTGTGTTTGGTGATTATAGACTCAACGTTGTTCATGCAACTATAGGTTATTTTAAAGTGTTTCTGTTGAAAATCTTGTGTAGTTTGTGCTGTAGTGGAAAGTGTTTGTCAATTAAACTTAAGAATTCCCGTCCTATATTCGTGTTCACACTCTTACTAAATGATGGGTTGAACCAAATTATGTTGCGTTGCGTTGCCTATTCCTACGTGTCCGTTGAAATGCATCCTGAATGTACGTAAATTCGTGATCAAAGTTACTAGTTCTAAGGGCGTTCAGGTAAATAGGCGTAGATTCCTTAAATGTTTGGTCGTCCGATGAGAGAAGTGTAATGCTTGGTGGATGGTTTGAATGTCTGTTGATGTACAATGGATCGTCATTGGGTTTCCTGCATGGTTCACTCGTCGGTGATTTTCACTAATAATAGCAGGGTAAGATCATCCAATTATTTAATCGTTCGAAGCGCGAGGAAACCATGCTTCCATATATGGCACAAACGTGTCCCCAACTTCCTTATATGGCACAAAGGTGTTCCCCCAAAAAATTTATCAAAGCCGTTATGATGTCATAAGATTCCTCCCGCTCGGAACGATTTGAACAGGTCACGTGGTACAGAACCCAGGCAGCTGATTGTTTAGTGAGTGACAGCGCCTAATTTAATCCTACCCTCTTATTATTAGTGAAAATCACCGACGTTAATAATATTTCGTGTGAACCGCGAAAGCTTGGGTTCTAATGTAAATAAATATGGCGGATTTTGAAATTATACAGTATTTGCATATATGTAAATGTTTTATGGATACAGAAGCAAGATATTGAACAGTTCAGGTACCGTACACTTTATTTTAACTGCTATTTAGATAGAATACTATTGTTGTCAAATTGAATTTGTCCCAAAGGCCGTGCTCCAGCCGTTCCGCACGTTGTAACCAATAATCTATTGGCGTTGTAATGTCATTGTATGTAATTGGGTTGTAATGGGTCTACGATTAATCCAAACGTTTATCCTAATCCTAACCCTAACCTCTAACCCCTAACGCCTAACCCTATACCCTACAGCCGGTGGCCCGCTACCACTCCGGGGAAAATACCCTACCGCTTCCCCGCCATCAACCAAGCTGAAGCCAATTTATAGCTAAAACTTATGTCTAATGCTTGTGGTTTTGTCTGCTCTCGTGCTATTAATACTTTGTTTACTCTCTGAGGACTGTACTCAGTACTCTTCAAACAAAAAGTATAATAATAGTGGACTTTAATATGCGTACTCGATCAAGTATTTGTCAATGTATGCTTTCTACGCGTAGTCGATCGGCTGTACGCTTTCTAAGCATACTCATCAAAAGTATTTATAAAACGTACAGGCAAACGGCTGTACGCTTTCTATTAAAGCGTATTCGATCAAAACTTAAACGGCTGTACCCATATTCGGTGTACTCGATCATAACTAAACGACTGTACGCATGTTTTGTGTGCTCCATCTAGTTTATATTCAAAATATCCATCACATGTATCTTAACTATCAAACTTAATTCCATCGGAATCGAAATACTAGTCCACATCTACATGCGGCAGTCGGGCAGTGTGCCCGGCAGTCAGGGAATTTAGTCCTATTGAAAGTGTTAAAAATATTCTCTTAAAAAAATTAAACCCACCCCACAAAACCTTAACTCCTAATCCTAAGCCCTAAGCTTAAAATCATACTGAAAAGAAGTTGAAAAAAAAATTTTTAACTTGAAAATAAAACTGTTGCTTAATACGGAACTCAAACCCGGGAGCCGTGCCTCGCAAACGACCGCCTAAACCACTGCGCCGCAAGGAATTCGCTCAGTTAGCTCGTAAATAATGGTTTACTGTGTCGAAGGCTTTCGATAAATCTAGAAAAATCCCAACCGCAATTTCTTTTTGATCAATCGCAGTTGAAATCTTATCATACAAATCTACTAAAGCAAGAGAAGTTGAATGATTTTTCCGAAAACCGTACTGCTTATCAGATAATATATTATATTTATTAAAGTATTCCAAAAAACGGTTATAAATAATTCTTTCTATGAATTTGAAGAAACTAGGAAGTTTATAGAGACTGGTCTGTAGTTTGTGAAAACATCTCGATCTTCAGCTTTGAAAAGAAGAATTACCCGAGCAATTTTCATCTCATCAGGTACAATGCCATGAGTTATGGACAGATTAATAATGTGAGTCAATGGTTGAGAAATTACATTTATTGATTGTTTTATTATCGACATAGGAATTTTATCAAAACTTACAGCCTTTCCTGACTGAAAACTGGAAGCTATATGTCCAGGATCTCGGATTCAGTTGCTAACTTAAGGAAAATTGAATTTGGAAAATTTCATGTTGGAGTACATTCCGTCCAAAAACTCGCCGGTCAAAGAATGACAATGATGATCCATCAGGTTCAAATTAAAATCCCCCATTGTATAGCATGTTTTGTTCTCTTTAGAACTTTTTTCAATTAGTTCTTTATATGCAAATAAAAAATCCCCAACAGTTTGGTTGGGAGGTCTATAATTAACACCTATGACAATGTTTTTCCCTTGAGCCCTAGGAATCTCAAGGAATAAAGACTCCGCTAATTCTTCGTTACAAAACACAAATCATCACGGACTTTAGCTTCGAAATCGTCAGACATATACAAACCAACACCGCCTCCTGTTCCGTTAGCTCGATTTTTATGGAAAATTTTAAAGCCGTTTATGTCTACTAAACTAGCAGAATCTTGTAACCAAGTCTCTGTTATACCAATAACAGAGAATTGTATATTTAAAATGCCCAACAATTCAGTTAGTTATTGAAAATTACGCACAAGATTACGAATACTTAAATGTAAGGTAGAAAATTGTGAGACACAATGGGTCTCCTTTTTGAACACATCATTAAATTGGTCTTCTGTAAAATAATCACAGTTTTAATTCAGATCAGCGAAAAAATACGAATATGGATCGTAATCTCTCATTAGTTTACGTTGTTGGTTTGTATTAGAAAGTAAAGGATTATAACTCAAACTGGCCAATCTATCGTTATCAAAATTGATCGTGCCATTTTGCATCTCAAACATTGCTAAGTTAAAACTATCATTATCTAGATCATAAAAGGGTAGTTCTCTGCTATCACCAAGTGCTGCAGCCATATTTTACCAATAATATAAACTAATTTAATATTGCAACAATAAAATTAGGGTACTTAGCCAAATGAAGTTGACATGTTCGCTTTGAAATAATCAAGCTCTTTTATCGAGGCGAATGATGTAGCACGAGAAGTATCGTCCTTCTTTAAATAGGATTTACCATATTTTGTCCAAGGGTATTTAAAACGATGGGATTTTCGAACTTGTCTTACTTGATAGTACAATTCTCTGGCTTTCGGCGTAAGGCTTTCGTTGACATATAACTTATTATCAGGACGTGCAAAGCCGAGATCGGACGAACTACGATTTTTTAACTTTCCCTTCGATTCGTAGAGTTTATCTCCAATGCTTCGTCTGGCGAACTTTGCGATAATTGTAGGAATGACGCCCCTTTTGGAAGGCAAGCGATGGCTTGTCGAGATACTCGATTTGCTTGACCAGTTCGTCTGTATTTTCGTCCGGCGTCTCTGGTACTCCATGAAACTCTAAACGGTCTCTTCGATAATATAGATTGATATTTTCTTGATCGTCTTCTAGTTTAGATATTCGATCCGCCATTTCTTTAGCCAAGATATTTAACTGGGCATTTTCAGGCTTCAGATGGCTGTTATCTTCTTTTAACAAGCTGAATGAATTTAATAGTTCGTCGAACTTATTACTAATAAAATCTTGGCTTGATTGAATCGCTTTAGGTTCATCATGAGTAGCTTTATAGTGTTTAGAAACAGCGTTATCAAGCTCTTTCGTATGGGTCTTTAGCTGTTTGTCTATAGCATTTCTTCGACAGCTGCGATCGAAAGTATGGTGTTCGATGTCGCAATCTCAGATATCTTGCTCTTTGCTTCTTCCGACGGTTGTTGTGCTGGCTTTTTCTTCGGAGACATACTATCATTGGCAGATTACTATCGCCTATAATACGTATCTATTCTCAGTGAGCCAATGTAATTTAGAATAAAGATAATTTTAATAATTCAACTTCTTCAGGAGCTCTATATTAGGCACACCCGTCTGCTATGCCGTGCCATGCCAAAAACAACGGTGATAGTACTAGTAGCCAAG